TCATTAGAAAAATCAGCATCTATCAAAACTACATGTATATGTTATAACGTGTGATCCGCCAATCAGAGCTCTAGGCTGCTCGCTCGCGTGTTTTATGCGTCACTGTTTCGATCGATAATAGGCTGCTCTCTAATAGGCGGATCACACGTTATAACAAGTATGGGACTTCTCAATGACAGTGTGTGCATCTACGATCTCGCCCCCTTCCCTCAGCGAGATTCAAACTCAGTATCTATCAGTTTTGCATATGAGCGCTTAACCATTAAGCTCACTGAGTAAAGGACCATTAGAAAAATCAGTATCTATCAAAACTACATGTATAGAGCAAATAAATCACAGTTTTCAGGTCAACTCTGTCTTTTCATTATTCTATCAAAATATCTAAACTGAACTAATTGCTTGAAACTTCTAAAATGATAACAGACTTACCAAAGTTAGTCATAATCGCAGGAAATTAGGAAAAGACGATGGAAATGGATAGGACATACATTGAGGAAATCATCAAACTGCATTACAAGACAAGCGCTAACTTGGAATCCTGAAGGGAAGCGGAAAAGAGGAAGGCCAAAGAACACATTATGTTGGGAAATAGAAACAGATATGAAAAAGATGAATAAGAACTGGAAAGAGGTGGAAAGGATTGCCCAGGACAGGGTTGGATGGAGAATGCTGGTGAGCGGCCTATGCTCCTTCACGAGGAGTAACAGGCGTAAGTAAGCAGCGCATTATTATTTGGTAGATTCTTTTTAGAGATTCATAATCTATTATTATTACTACTGACTTTATTCATTGCTATATATTTAGTAAACTATAAAATTCTCAATACAAAGTATTTCAACAAGTTCCTTTTTCTCATATTTCTTGATCGATCTTTACGATAAATATTGTATGGTTGTCAGTTAAATGTTAACATTTCAGTCAATTGACATTTGAATAATGTTTTATATTCTATTCAATGTATATTACCAGTAACCATGATGTTTCTGATGAGTCTCTTTTATAAGTTGTCCAGTGAAATGTAGTAAACATTTTAAAAATGCAACTAAATAAGTTATGAGACACTAATAGGCATAATGATGTGTTAAAACAAATAAGAAAACAGATAACTTATTAAAATATATCTAGATGATAGGAACAGGTATCCCAGATATTAAGGTAAGTCACGATAGTATTATTCTCTATGGATACTTGTTTAAATTTTAACGATTAGTTTAATTTTATAGAAATTAGATGCCTGAGTACATTTGGATAATTTAAACGACTGAAATTTAAATGATTCCAACGTTTTAATCATTAAATAAAAGACTAGCATATGTTCTTTATATCAGAATTATCTTAATTAATGTTAGGTTTAGTTCAAAGTTATAGATTTGTAGTGTCGGTTAGTGTGTTAAGCCCATATACCTTATTCTCTTCTTTCGGACAGCCCCATTCTAATTCATTCTACTTGAGTAATACACTAACCTTGTTAATTAGCCACGTATCAATCTTCATTGTTTTTATATGAGTGCCTAGGTGTATGTACATTTCTTATCCTATTACTCAGCATATATCTGTAACTTATTTTTGTATGACTATAAATATTGATTAACGCTTAACTAAAGGGAAGTTGGCTTATCCACCATCTCCACTACTCGTCGTTTCACTTCTCTCTATTCCATTCCATAGTCCATTCTCGTTATTTCACTTATTTAATTCAGTTATTGACTGATGCAATTTAAGTCGATGATTATATATGAGGATAGATGATATATATATATTTCAATAACAATCATTCATACGATCTAATTGGAGTCAGAACTCGAGCCAGTAAACTAGAGAGTCCGTCGACAACATTGTCCGATCTAAATGTAGACAAAATAAAGGGTCTCACAGATTAAATAGAAGACAACAATTGTGAATAACTTAAAAATTTCTTGAATGGTTTTTCATATCTCTGTATTTATAACCTTGAATTGCAATAGTTTCCGTTCAATAAGCTACAAAACACATTTAATTAGTGAGCTGTTCAATCATGTTACTTACTTCTGGCTAGTGTTTTTTTTATTTATTTAGCGAATTAGTTTTCTATAGGATATGGTCACTAACTCCCTTCCCAACCCTTCTCCTTTATCTAGGCTTAATCAGTCAGTAGCAACGTAGAACTTTGTACATACGTATATCAAGCTTGGGACTGGCATGAACCTCATTCAGGCTTCACATAGAGTACATAACATGGCGAGACTCTAATTTAGGGACGACCTTTGAACGAATTTTTAGTGACCTTGAGAATAATAGCCAATCAGAAGACACCTAGTATAACGTAGAAATATATTAGAAGATACTAATGGATTACAGTGAATATACTTCTTTTACATGATTTAAAAACTTATCAATGTTTGCTAAAGTTTCAGATGTTTTGAAATCATATTGCATACGGTATAAAAAGTCATAAGTTCCAAGTACCTGTCGAGTATATTTACGGAAATGCTACTTACACAATCCTACTTTATACTACGTCCCCTGTTGTATTTTCGCTTTCTCACTGCCGTTTTATCTGTCTGCACGATACATCCTACTCCTCCGAATGATTGGTGTACAAGTGTTATTTTAGTTGCACGGCAGTACTCATACCACTGAACTGCTGAATTTTCATAAACAACTGCAAACGCCGCAGCCAGTGTTACTGGTGTATTTATTATCCAATTTGCAACTATTATCATAATCTGATTCAGTTTCAGTAGCAATCGAGCAAAGAAAGTCCCCGTTCTAGCAGACTTTCTCCTCCAACATGAAGGACAACGAAATATAATCTCACCACGGTTATTTACACACTTTACTGCAGTCATTTGATAAGCGCAGTCTCACGTACAAGAACTTTTTAGTAATCCTATCCCTTGTAGCCTCTCAATAATCACCCCTTCTCTAAAATCCGCTGTAAACCGATTATATGTGAGCATCAGGTGTTAAACTTGGCTCCGTGACCTTGAGACGGCTCAAACGCTTCTGATTGGCTCGTCCCTAAATTAGAGTCTCGCCACATTCTCTACTATACTTTCATTATCAATTGTATCTATCCATTTAAAGAATCAATGAAAAATGATCCAGAAAAACAAAAAAAAATAAAATAAAAAAAACTAAATGAAGTTGAACTTTAAAATTTCAATAATTAATGATTTTATTAATTATTGATTTAATTTTTTTTTCTTTTTTTTTTCTTTTTTTTGGTAACAGATTTCATTCAATTATTCATTCATTGTTTTATATTATTCAATCCATTATGTGTTTAATACAATGGTCTAATTATATCGGTATATTGCTATTATTATTATTATTATTATTATTACATATTTAGATTACCTCTCATATTACATAACAAGCTGAATTTATTGACCTTTAATCAAGCGATGTATTATTATTGTGTCATTGTACAATGACACATTTATATGACTGAGATTTATTTAATAGTTAACTTTTATTTATTATCAATAAGGGGTATCATGGAAATGATAGTGATTTTAATAGTTAAATTTATGAGTCAACATTAGTTAGATCACTATGGTAAACTTGAAAGCATTGGATGGCTGTTTTGTTGTAGTACAGGATTTCAGTTCAATTGTCTAGAGATTAAGTATTCGCCCATGAGACCGATAGGTCCTAGGTTCGAATCCTACGAGAAGGGATTGTGGATGCGCACTGTTAAGGAATCTAAACATATAGGACGAAACGATAATCCAATGCTTTGAAGTTTTTCATGATGGTCTAGCTTCAATTGAATCATAATCTCATCTATTAAAATTACTATAATATCTGCAAAAAACCTTTCTGATCCTAACTTTGAGTTCTCTAATAAAAAGTGTAAAAAATTTGTCCAGTCAGAGGTGAAAGTTTAAACAGCTGAATGTTACCATTCCGCCTGTAGCCCCTCAGGGGCTACTGCCGGTCCCAAGACCGGATAAAGTAGGACGCTTGGGCATTGGTTTAGTGACCGCATCCTGTAGAAAAATAACTGGCTAGAAAACGTTAACCAGTTAAACGTTACATAGATGATGACACTCAACTTTGATTGTTTAAAAACACTATTTAATGTGCTAATTTCGCATTTATCATGTTAAATATTCCTTTGTTATCTTATTATTGTTTGTTTTATAAATTTCACCAATAAGAATAATAAAAAAAAATTCTGTTCGACATTCATAAAATGAATTTCAATAATTAAGATCATGAGTCCATTGAAGTTAGATAATCATAGAAAACCTGGAAGTACTGGATAGCCGTTTCATCTTATTGTGAGACTCCTCAACATTTCACATTCACGAAACTCAGCCTCTTGAGATTCGAACCAAGAACCTATCGATTTATCATCATCTGAACTATTAAAATGACTATAATATTCACAATAACCTCTTCTGATATTAATAAAAATGATTAATTTCAATGCACTCAATAAATTAAGAATAAAAATAGAAAAATAAACAAACAAACTGTTAGATTCCCATAACCATAATGAATGGACATTTTTATTGTATAATTGTTATGTCACTAAACTATTCATAGTCATATTCCTCTTATTATAAGGTTTATCTTGATCTATGAACGATTATGATACGATTTACTATTCTTGAATTATACCCTGTCTATTAATCACTACCTTCTACATTCACAATCATATTTCACTGATTCTTGTATAAATGTTGTTTCCTATTTTTTATTGGTACATTTGTTATCTGTCTGGTTGACACATAAACCCAGTATATTTCAAATATAATGATTCATATCACAAATGCTAAGATTTGCTATTGTAGACATAACTAGCTGGGTTAGGCAGGAAGCAAGATCAATAAGGACTCTAGATTGATCATACGGGTATTACAGGTCATTTGTCTGATTGTTCATTCACTATTCTCTATAATAATTGGTAGTAACGTTACATGATTATAATAAAACAGGCCCACACAAGGTCACAAGTTATAACATAAACAAACAAACAAACAAACAAACAAAAACAAAAATAAAAATATGAGCAATATAATTTGTTTATATATTCATTCAATAATTCTTTATATGAATCTATATTATAAAAAGAATATAGAATAATCAAATATAAATGAAAGAAAACAAATAATAATCATAACATATCAATAATATTGAAGATCTTTATTAAATAGAATATCATATCAATGAATTAATCAATTTATTGAATTTTTGTTGATTTCGTCCATGAACATTTATCTGAACTTCTTCAGAATAGATAACATTGAAAATAATTCAATTAGATGAAATCTATCCTATTTAAAATATTATAAAAGTAATAAAATTAAACTAGAAGATTTTGTTGATTATTCTGTATTGTTATCTGTTGTTTATCTTCTTCTTGTTCGTCTACTTCTACTTCTTCTTCTTCTTCTTCTTCGTCGTCGTCGTCTTCGACATCGTCGTCATCTTTTTGTTTATTTTGTATATTCTCTATAGAAGTACTATTCGTTTGTATATATTCTTGATTATTATTATTATTATTATTATTATCCTCATCATTTATATATCGTGTATAGACAGAAGAATTTCTATGTGTTTGATAACAGTATATTGCAATTATAAAACATATTATCACTATGAATAATGTACTTATTATAATCAATATAATAGTTGCTATGTATGGTTTTTGTATTAATATATAATATAATTGATTAATTATTGTATGATTTAATTGAATAGATTCATTCATAAACATAATTGGTAATAAAATTGTAGAAATATTTTCAAGTTGTTGAAATTTTTTATTATTTTCTATGAATAAATTAAGTTGAAGTTTTTTTTCCGCTTTTATTACATAACCAGTTAAAGGTTCTATATAAATTATTGTATTCAATTCATCTGTTGGATGAATACCATCAATAGCATTCTGATAAGATTGATTAGCCTATTAAAATAAATCAATAATAATTTATTATATTTATTTATTTTAACACATAAGTATAGGTACAGGGAGGCACCAAATACATATGCGTCACACAAATCTCAATTGTTTTGTGTGAGGGCTGTGATACTGCCCGGGTGCCCAAACCGAAGCAGGTGGTTTTCTTAGGGGACCACACCCCGAGCCTTTGACCTGAACGTCTGACCCACAAGGCAGTGGAGCATCGTGAGGAGATGCAGTCCCATGGAAGCCGGTGACCAACGATTGGTTCATACGCCATTTGTTCCCGCAGGATACTGGAGCCAGCCCATGTGCACCATTGGTTTGGGATCCGGTTAAAGCGCCAGACATTCGCTTTTCGTCCTCTCATTTTTGTAAACAACACCCCCGCCACGAGAAGGCAGTGAGTAGGACTTCCCTGGCAGAGGCTATATACGCATGGCCATGTGAGAGCATTTCGAGAGGGAGAGCGGACTCTCCCCACTCTCGGCCGTACCAGGGCATTTGGGGAATAAAATATTTCAGAATGTATATATATATATATATATATATATATATATATATAGATATATAGATAGTAATAGATATATCAAATGAAGACATAAGTATTTAACTGTTGAAATGATCCAGAAAATCTTTGACAAAAGACACTCAAAGATCATGAAATATTCAGAAACATTTCATCCAATCAGTGTGTTCCATTGAAGTTTTAGCCAGAAACATTAAAGATGTGAAATATCATATGTAGAGGTTTTGATTGATTGATGATTGTTGTACTGTTACTATGTTTAAGTAGCATCCTAGAATCTTTGAGCAACTCAAGGACATTTAAAATATTATAAAAACCCTATTTTTTTTTTTTTTTTGTATTAAAACGAACCTTTGGAGTAATGTACTTTGGCATACTTTGCGCTTTCTCTTTCATGTTCAGGTTGCTGTATGGTTCTAGCTTTGGGGTTACAAGAAGAATAGCTTAGGAACCGAGTATAGCGTTCAATTAGCAAGACTTATCACTAACTCAGTACAATGGAAGATAATTGAGTAATCTCGCGGATTGATTAAGGTTAGATATTAACACTGTTAGATTCTGACTCAGTAGTCTAAAGGTTAAGCGTTTGCGCACGAAACTTATAAGTATTGGGTTCGAACCTCGCGGGGGGCGGGGTCGTGGAGTTGGACGAAACGGTCATCTAGTAGTCTTAGGTTTTCCATAGCGATCTAGCTTCACTTGACTCATAAACTCAACTATTAAAAATTACTATAATCTTCATAAAAAGCTCTTCTGATATTAAAATAAATAAATAAATACATAATGATAATAGTTTTTAGTAAGAATATTTTATGAAGTAAAAAACGAGCGATTGTATTATTTAACAATAAGTGAAGTAAAGATTATAATGAAAGAGAAATAGATTATGAAATAGATTATATTATGAATTAATAACATTGATCATATTGTGAACCAAAATAAACAAATGGATCTAATGTATCAGTTCTGAGATTACATTGGACGAAACGACCGTCCAATGCTTCCAGGTTTTCAATGGTGGTCTATCATCAATTGGTTCATGATCTCAATCAAAAACTTGACAATCTCCACAACCCTAATAAAGATAATTAACATGTGCTCACTAGTGACTAGCTTCGTGAAAAAATTCTCGGAGTTCTAATGAGAAGCCGTGATCAGTGGAGCTAATCCGTACCGGATAGAGACAAATATTTACTTCAGTACAATGAAGATGGTCGCGCAGCTTCGTGGATTGTTTGAGGTTAGACATTTACACTGTTGGATGCCGGCTCAGTAGTCCAGTAGGTTAAGCGTTCCCGTGCGAAACTGCAGGCTCTGGGTACGGATCCCGCGAGCGGGATCGTGGATGCGCATTGTTAAGGAGTCTCACGATAAGATGAAACGGCCGTCCAGTGCTTCCAGGTTTTCTATGGTGGTTTAGCTTCAAATAACTCATGATTTCAATCAAAAACTTGACAATCTCCACAACACCTAAATTGATCATTTTTCGTTGGTAAGGCAAAAAATTCACTTTAAATAAATGCTTTTTTTATTTTAAGTTCATTAAAACTGATAAGTCTTGTAATTTGAACGCTACACTCGGTTCTTAAGCTATTCTTCTTGTAACCTCAAAGCTAGAACCATACAGCGACCTGAACACCAGAGAGAAGGCCCAAAGTATCCGAGAAATACTTTACTCCAAAGGTTCACTTTAATACAGAAAATATAGGGTTTTTATAATATTTTAAAAGTCGTTGAGTTGCTCGAAGATTCTAGAATGCTACTTAAACATAGTAACAGTACAATAATCATCAACCAATCAGAACCTCTACATATGATATTTCACATCTTTAATATTTCTGGCTAAAACTTCAACTAAACACTGATTAGATAAAATGTTTCTGAATATTTCATGATCCTTGCGTGTTTTTAGCAAGAATTTTTCTGGATCATCCCAACAACAACAACAACAACAACAACAAAAACAAAAACAATAAAAACTTACATTAAGAAAATGTGGTTGTGATACAGCAATTGGTATACCTGGTTGACAAGATGACATATCTAATACACCATCATCATAACAATTAGGCCAATTTAAACAAAATCCTTTATTTTTTTCATAATATTTCGATGATTTAAATGTATCTAACATAGGAATAAATTTTAAAACTGGTAAATCATTTAATTTCACTATAGAATCCATAGTAAATTGTATAGAACGACATATATCTGATGCAAATATATAAGGTTGATCATTTTTATTTAAAAATGTATGAAATAATGAACCATCACTACCATTAATCATATTTGCTGTAAATGATTTCCAATAAGTTAATTGATTATTTCCATGATATTTTAAAATTTTTCCAATCATTTTAGAATTATATAAACCAGTATCCATAGTGATATCATCACTTGGTGTATTATTCTTATTAATGAATAAACCAATATTTGTTGTTATATTAATAAAATGATTTGATATAAATGTTAATAATTCATCATTATAACCCCATAATAATTGTTTAATCGGTTTTTTAATAAATAAATATTCATGAAAATATTTTTCAATTTGTTCCATTATTCGACTTAGTAACCATGGCATCTCTTTAAATTTAGTTGCTATAGTGACATAAGCAAAATTTACAGTTGTAATTAAATCATTTTCTGTACCATTTGATAAATTTGAATCAAAATAATACCATTTAATTTCTTTATATGTAATTGATTCATTTATTTGTGTAATATTAAATTTTAAACGTTTTTCAATATATGTATATGGTCCTAATTGTTGAATAGTAGGTTTATGACCAGATTGAAATTCAATTGGATTTGTTAAATTAAAAATATAAAATTGTATATAAATAGGTATAGATGGTTGTAACCATTCATTATATATCATTGATCCTGGATAGAAACGTGTTTCTTTAGTGATTAATAACCAAAGGATAGGATATAGTATACATAATGATAATAATGAAGCAACTAATAATATGATACTGAAGAAGATGATCGATTTAAAACAAGGATGAAACATTATAGTTGAAAAATGACTTTTTATCTGTAATAATGATAGACTACTATTATGACAGCATAATTTATAGATAGGTTAGTCTAAACATATAAACCGATCGTTAAATATGTAAAGTAGTATAACTAGAAGCCAATCAGAAATCATTTAACTACTGTTAATGTCTGTATTCAATGATTTATATAAAACATAAAATTGTCATAAAATGTTTATATATTAAAGTGAATGTAAACAATTAAGTGTTATGTATTAATAATCTGTTGATAGGTGTAGGGTTTTTTTGTGATTAGTATAGAAACTTCAATGGTAGAGAAGTGAAGCGCGCTCGTTAGACGGATAGATCCTAAGTTGGAATTGTACGATGTACACTACTGAGGAGTCCTATAATAGAACGAAACGGTCGTTCAGTGCTTCCAGGTTTTCTATGGTGGTCTTTTATTTATTTATTTTAACACATAGATATCGGTACAAGGAGGCACCAAATATATATGCGCCACATAAATCTCATTTGATATTTGTGAGGGCAGTGATACTGCTCGTGTGCCCAAAACGAAGCAGGTGGTTTTCTTAGGGGGCTACACCACGAGCCTTCGACCTGAACGTCTGACCCACAAGGCAGTGGAGCATCGTAAGGAGATACAGTCCCATAATAGCCTGTGACCAACGACTGGTTCACACGCCATTTGTTCCCGCAGGATACTGGAGCCCATGTGCACCATTGGTTTGGGGTCCGGTTAAAGCGCCGGACATTCGCTTTTCGTCCTCTCATTTTCGTAAACAAACACCCGTGGTGCGAGAAGGCAGTGAGTAGGACTTCCCTGTCAAAGGCTATATACGCGTGGCCATGTGAGAGCATTTCGAGAAAGAGAGCGGACTCTCCCCACTTTCAGCCATACCAGGGCATTCAGGGGCTCTATGGTGGTCTAGCTTCAAGTGACTCATGATCTCAACCATTGAAAAGATAAGAAGGCTTAAAGATAAATGCATATTATGGATATCGTCAAAGAAGCTTTTCACGAAGTTTCAATATACTTGGTAAAATAACAATGATTTAAATGGGATGAAAGTTATGTACAACAGAGTTATTTCGTTGAAAAACACCACTTAAGTGAACAAAATAGGTATCGTAACTCAAACCATTCTTCAAAATAAAGGAGGAAGGGAATAAAGATTATTCTTATCCAGTGCAATGCACCCATCCACACAACAATCAAGATCATGATGACGAATTCAATGAGACCTCAGTGGATTTTAAATAGGTGCCCAGGAAAAGACCTGACCAACCTGATGGCAGACGTAAACGCCAAAGTCGGAATGAACAACACCGGGTATTAGGATGTTATGCAACGACATGGACTGACTGTGAGAAACGAACGGGAATTTGCAAACATGAAAAGAATGAATAGCAAGTGGAAACAACTGTAAAGGACTTCTCAGGATGGAGAATACTAGTGAGTGGTCCATTTCCTTCCATGAAGGTTAACAGGAGTAAGTAAGTAGTTGCTATGACTTCAGCTTAGTTGTCTATAGATTAAGCGTTTACGTGAGATATGGAAGGGACGAGTATACTGAGCGACAGTTCGTTCCGCTCTACTATACGGCTGCGAAACGTGTTCATTAAGAGTGGAAAATACACGTAAGTTACTAGTATTTGATCACTGATGTCTTAGAAATATTTCTCGCATCTGTTGGGATCACCGGGTGAGTAATAGTGAGGTTAGACAAAGGGTATTAGGGAATGATGGTAAGTCAGTTGATGAGGTTGTGAATCTTCATCGACTGAGATGGTTGGGTCACGTGTTCTTACGTATGCCTGAACACCTATTACCACGACACGTAATGCAAACTAGTGTAGGGGATGGTTGGAAGAAAGTTAGGGTCGGCCAAACCAAAATGTGGCATCAGTGATTAAAGTCACTAACTTCTGGTCTGAGCCATGTTGGCAGATGCAGACTACCTGGTTGAGGTCCACGTGACTATCGTAACCAATGGTTGGAGACTCTTGGTGAAATGTCTCACAATCGATCACAATGGCTTAGGTGTATACACTCTTTGTCTTGCCTTAAACGGTGAGATTAAAATCGCTTTATATCTTTCTTTCTTCCAGTATCATATCCTTATACACAATCTTTTTTTATATATTAGTACCATTGAAGTGACTACTTCTATGAATTCGGTGTTCATCTTGTTATATCAATGAGATGTAGCAACTTGGACCGATGCATATTTGTGCCTGGTCCTAAGTTGTACTTGACTGATAGGGAGCTTCAATATTGTTCACTCGGTTATTTTATGAAATGAGCGCAATGACTAAATACGAACATATACCACTGAACTACCAACATCCTTTAATGCTAGTGGTCATGATTCACATTCATAAATTAAAATACAGAGAACTTCTGAGCAGTATACACTTCCTTCGGTTGGAAGACGGATATTTCTCTACGACGCAATGACACAAGTTGGCAAAAACTAGCTTTCTGAATTCATGCAGAAAGTTTGTCAGACACCAGACCATCAGAAATAATAACACTCCCAAAATAAGTGAGTCGATTGATGCGTACAGTTACTTCATTCTCTATCAACAATTCAGGCTGTGATGTAAGCTGACAGATTGTAATTGGAGGGAAAGAACCGCATTCCAAATATAATTTACATCATTTCGAAACGTGGCTAGTAAACTCGGAACTTTATCAGTATCTCAATCCAACAAATCTATATCATTTATGTATCTAAAGAAAATTTTCCGGCAGATCAACTCCTTGTAATTCAGACGATAAAAATATTATCTTTAAAAGCATGTCTATAACAAGATCAAATAAAACAGGGAAAGTGGATGACGCTCGTAGCAACAGATTCTGTTTTGCAAGATTCAATAAATTAACCAACTTACCATCTCCATCCAGTGCTCTCTGTCTAAATTCAGCCTAATTCGTAGTTCCAACATGTACAAGTAATGCCTAATGAGCTTACAACATACGTACAGAAATTCCGCTAATCGTAAGGATGATGAAACTTACTTGCCTTTCAACGAAAGGCAACAACAGAACCTCATGATCAGTAGAGACGGACGACACTTTCATGTCACGGAATACAACAATAGTCGGACGTCTATGTTCTGGAAGTTGCCGAAAGGCAAATATTTAATCTATACGTGCACGTCCAAGTCTGCAACAGGCTAGGTTTTCTCGGGTTTGCCTTTCACTAACCATAGTTAGACAACGAAGTATTATTAAGACTAATATTTTGGATACTATATTAGTTACACTGATTCCTCTCTGATTGTCACAGGAGGAATTTTGTCCTCTTATAGACCAGGATGATCGGTGATCGAGACCAGTCAGTTGGGATACGTCTCGTTTACAGATCTAACCTAGGATCTCAGTTAATCTAACTGCCAAAAACTAGACTACTATCCTTAAGATTCGCAAGGGTTGGTCCATCAAGCCCTTCTGCTTTCCCTTGCTTTAAATTGCTAATAGCTTCACTAAGAAATGGAAGACCTGCATTAGTTTGCCTTTAAGGTTACTTGTAGATAGTGAGTAAATAAAGATCAGTTGAACTGCTCACTAAAGTGCTCTGTCCATTGATTGAATCACCTGAATTGAGAGCAAATAATAGCTCTGTCTTTTTTCGGGATATTCTTATTAGCAGCCATATTTTTTAATGATTGTTTCTTTGGTAAGTCTGAGCAGTTATCTACTGTTACCCATCGCCATTACCTTTTCCATCACACCTGCTCTCGCTTCCCACCACTGTCCACGATCATTCCATAGGCTTTTTATCAGTTAACATTTAAGCTGCTTCCGCTTTTCATCGTGTTCGGCAGGATAAGTTTCCGAGCATCTGTCAATCCAATATACACCAATGAAATCCGCTGATTTTTCCTGACGTTTGGATTCAAGTTGCTAGTCGAAATCATTGCTGTTTTCACAGCATATCGGATTCCATGCCAAGCTCTCTCGGGTTGGATATCACTTTCATGACTGACTAAATACTTCTCTAGTAGTTCCTAAAACACATTCTTAACCTTTTTATCATTAAATTAAAGTATAAGGGTTTTTCTTGCTGTGACTTTTCTATGTCCGGTAAGATGCAGACAAATACGTGCTCGAACTAGAGCATGATCAGAGTCTAAACATGTGTCCCAGAATGAGTTACAGTTTCCTATCAAGCATCTCCGACTATGGGTGATGACAATATGGTCTGTTGTTGAGTTGATTATGCGGGTCATTACGTTAGACGGTGTTTCACCTCATGCTTAAAATTAGTGTTTGCTAGAAATAGTCGGTAATCTTAGTATAATTCAACCAACGGTCGCCATTATCTCACTGATCTGTGACGTTGCAATATTCATCAAAATACCTTTTGATTTGGATTAGTCTACCTACCTGAGCACTGAAATCATTTGAGATTAATACTGCATCAGAGCGTTTAGGATTTTGAAGGAGGTTTGATAGCTTCTTATAAAATTCATCTTTATCTTTATCCGAGCTGCGATCGTTAGGAGAGACAAAAAAGAGGCAACGGCATGTGTCCCCATATTTTCAAGTTTCTATATTCCCGTTTGGTCGGACACCACACGAGCGACTGCTTATTGGAACCAAGTCTGTTCTGCTTCAGAACTCGGAAGATAGCAGTGAGAGCTTCAGATACACAAAGGTAAATCATACCGGTTCTTTATATTGATAAGATGAAGTCGTGTGGATGACTATACTTGGATCCCTTATGCGTGTTACGGAGACAGTATAAATCGATAATGCGAGACTGTAGAGTCTTATTTAAGGAAGCTTGTTGTCCTATCTGACACAAGATTCGAACATTAAAAGTTTCAACATGTAGTTGAAGAGCGTAATTTCATGTAACAAGAAATAACATTTCTTGTATCTAAATCATTAGCACTGATGCCACACAGTGATAAAGATATTCAAGAATGGTTAATCGTCGGAATAGATTCGGTCGTAAACGAGATGAACTTGAGTGTTGTTAGAGGTATGAGGATGAAT